TTACACATTCTCGGTGTCTCGGCTCCCACCTGTCCACCACATACATTGATGATGAGATTAAACATTGGATCAGATATGCATCCCATCCCTTTGGCAGACTCCGAAACCGTGTCTTCAGCTGTAGGGAACTGAAATTATCTACAAAGTTACACGTATATCGAGCTGTGGTCCTCCCCACCCTGCTATATGGCAGCGAGTCATGGGTCACATACAGGAGGCACATCAAAGCACTTGAAAACTTTCACCAACGTGGTCTACGTTCCATCCTCCGTGTTTGTTGGGAAGACAAGAGAACAAATGCCAGTATTCTTGGTGACACCAACTGCAGGAGCATCGAGGCTACCATTTTCCACGAACAACTACGCTGGACTGGCCATGTTACCCACATGGACGACAGTAGATTGCCAAAGCAGCTACTTTATAGTCACCTAACGAATAGTAAACTTAATACTGGAGGGGAACTGAAGAGGTATAAGGATAGTCTTTAGACAAACCTGAGAAAGTGCCAAATCGACCCCCTCACCTGGGAGACGATTATTCCACACCGTCCACACTGTAACGCTTGGAGGAGCACCATACAAGAAGGTGTCAATACTTTCGAGTAAATCCGACTACATAGCGAGGCAGACAAGCGCCAACGCTGGAAAGACGCTGCCGTACTAGATGTAGCCTCCCACATGTGCAACTTCTGTGATCGACCCTGCCGGTCCCGTATCCGCTTCTTTAGTCACCTCAATATTCACCGATGTAGGTGACATCCCTCATAACTCATATCATTGTATCAAGCTGGATGATCGTCATACTCGTTTCCGAGTGACAGTAAAGTAGTAGTAGTAGGAATGGGATTGACCAATCCAGAGGAGATTGCTGCCACCGAACATCAAAATTCAGTCAAGCTCGCGGCAACCCTCACCGACCACATAATAGCTCAGAACGCAACAGGTGAGGTGGATACCAGCGAATTAAACAAGATTCGACGGTTCATTACGAAAGAAAGTCAGCACAGCCAAAGTGATAAGTTGTATCAACTGATGCTGCAAGTACCAGAGAATTTGAAGAAAAAAAGTAGCTATAGCGCAAGAGGTGGGCGCCTCGAACTGAGTAACTACGTTACCGATAAGGGCAAAAGGTTTCAGTCTTAATAAACAATAATTTACAGATGTCATTGCTCAAAGGTACTATAGGCCAGTAGAAGGTTTGCCCTCCCAATGCGTGTGTGGCTCTTCCTATGACGTCGACCACGTCATTGTGTACAAGAAAGGGGGCTTCGTGTGCATGAGGAAATCTGACGTGATGTCAGGGTAGAACCGACCCTCCTTCCATTGGACGGTGATAATTTCCAACATAGGACTTCAAACACATCCAATGAAGCCCGTGTTGACGTCAGTGCTCGAGGATTCTGGACACGGGACAGCAAGGCTTTTTCGACATAAGGATTTTTTATTCCATGAACGCATGTCACCTTAACCTAGCTGTGGATGCTACACACGGGAGGAACGAAAACGACAAGATTAGGGAATATGGGGAGAGAATTCAAAATGTTGATCAAGGCAGCTTCATTTCTCTGGTGTTCACAATTTCTGGTGGGATGGGACCAAGTGCAAGATGCTTCTATGCCAGACTCGCGGAGGTGTTATCCGAAAAGAAGAAGCAACCCAGAAGTTATGTTACATCCTGGATGAAATGTCGACTGTCCTTCTCTCTCCTTAGGTCTGCTTTGCTCTGCCTCAGGGGAACGAGAGCATCGGCCCCAGAGCCGACAACAGTTGCAGATATTGACTACGAGGCAACAGTCACTGAATGCCGCATAGATCTGCGGCTCAACTAACTCAACACAGCTAGGGTAGCTACTTATGTATTAGGATAGTTAATTTAAGGTAATAAAATGGCGGCGAAGGTGTGGCTATTGGAGGAGGCTGGAGGCCAATTAAAAAAAAATTAGTATAGTAGTAGCAGTAGTAATAGTAGTGGTGGTGGTGTGTATGTGTGTGTGTGTGCGTTACTCGAAGTTAGCGTCTCCTCGGGACGCCGGACCAGAGCTTGACCAACCCTCCTTGCAGGGAGACAAACGCATCTAGTCTCAGGCAAGGAAAGCCAGCAAACTACTAGATGTTCTAGTGACTTATATCAAATAAACAATACACCAATTCAGTTTGTTTTAATTGTGCCTCTCCAAGAATCCCTCGAGGTCCACGTGATCTTCCGTCTCTACCATCTAAGAAGCACTTAAACTTATTATATCTTAGATTAATTATTTGGGCTGTATAAACTTGACCGTATTGTCACTGGTGCTACTATGCAGGTGAAATTCAGTTGGGAAAATGTTTTGGCCAATATATCTCATGACAGTAAAAGTACACTGAAGTTATTACATGCATTGAAGCGTCCTACGACATCAAACACCGTTAAAGGTTAGTAACAAGGCCTAAATTTTATAATTCCTTTGTGATATACTTGTAGCTGGATATGCCATTGAATTATTCCATAGACTACTCCGATTATTTTAACTATACAGCAATCATAAGAAGTTTCTTCCTGATTTATATAGTGCAGCCATGGTATTTTATTAGCTGCGATGGAGTAGGGTCTCGTTTTTTTACTTTTATGTATTACTAAGAGATGTGCAGTCGTACCACCAATGTGTATGCGTAAATCATTAATCTAAAATTCCAGACAGCACTAGCTATCCTGTCATTACCAACCTCAAACGTACAGTAGAATTTTGTTTGTTTGTTTGTTTGTTTTTTGTTTTTTTGCGGTATGAGCCCACCCGGGCACAGGTCACTGACCCCACATCGAGGCCTGGGGGCGGATATGTGATAATGATGATAATAATAATAATAATAATAATAATAATAATAATAATAATAATAATAATAATAATAATAATAATAATAATAATAATAATAATAATAATAATAATAATAATAATAATAATAATAATAATAATAATAATAATAATAATAATTAGTTCATGGTAAATAAAATTTTTAATACAAAATACAAAATTAAAAATAAAATAATAATAACAATGATACTAACAACACTAATAATAATAATAATAATAATAATAATAATAATAATAATAATAATAATAATAAAGAAATACAAAAATTAAAAAAAGATTAATAGTGAGAAACGATATATGTATGTTGTGTTGCCAAAGTAAGAGAAACAATTGAGACCCAACAATTGTGTGTAAATGAGGCAGAAAGATGTTGAACGAATATTCTCAAAAGTTAATCTTATTCAAACGAAGACCAGAAACAAACTCTCGACTACTACCATAGCATCACTAATTATTGTACAGAAACCGAAATGGTACAAAGCAAAGGAGGCTGTGTAAATTTCAACCCTAGCGAAAGCTTGGTAAATTAGACAAATCATATTAATGTGATTTTGAAATTGCAAACTTGTTTGGCTTTATAAAATTAGCTATACAGAGTTTGGTTTCAATTCCACCGAGCCCGTGACTTGTAAAATAATTTACGTTCATCTATAATGTTAAAAATCTTCTAACATGAAGCATAACAAAAAATGTGGGGAGATTGTTTGAGGAGCAAACGGCAACACTGATAAGCACTGCTTAAGGATGGTGGTGCAGACTGGTGCTGCAGCACTCGTGGCACCGTCTCTGCCAAGAAGTGCCACAGCGAGAACCATTAGTTAGGTATCTGACGAGGAAGTGAACTACCTGAGTGTAAGTCGAACTTGTAGTAAATATGTGGTTGAAGAGATTTAATGGAAGGAGAATGGAAGGCGAGAGAGTATGGAGGGAAGAGAGGGCTAAAATGATGGAAGTGCTAAGTGTATGGCACTAGGGGTGTCTTCTTGGGTGTATATATGTGGTATGAGGAACTCGAGAGACAACTATTTTGTGATTTAGAATATTATTGATATGGATATGTATTTTTGTAAGCTCCGAGGAGGAAAACTTAAATATATTTTGGGGGTTTGAAATGGAATTTGCGCAGGAGCGAATGCATCCCAGCCCGGGGTGGAGAGACGCTACGTCGTTGTTTACATAGCAAAGACGCGTCGGGTGGGCCCAGCAACAGGCGTGTCCCACGTATTTCTTGCTCTGATAGGGTGTGCTTGATAGATTGAGCACAATAAATGTTATATGAAGAATGTGATGATCTCGTGAAGGTAGTCTGTAAGCCAGAATAAGGCTAATTCTAGCTTTGCTCTACAGACATTCACCCTGGAGTGAGTCGACAACAACAGCCACTCCCCTGTGTTATGCTGGTGGGTTGGGTTTATTATTTATTGTTTAATTCCTACTACTGTGGTACCAATATGTAAATATGACAACAGTTGATGCTTGTTTTGTAAGTATAACGTAATAATGTATAATAACTAGTTATGTCTGATCTAGGTCCCAGCCTTTTCCTTCTCGGGTGATTTCTTGAGTAAATAAATGAGAGAAAACTACAAGTGTGTGTCCTATCCCTGCTTTGTGCTTTGCTACATATACTCGTATTATATACGTGAAAATCACAAGCTGGGTGTTGTGATGCAACGATGATTGGTGGTTTAAGTTCTGCTTAAGATAATAAACTAGTTGATATCCGTAAGGAATTGCGTCACTTGATAACAATCTGCCAGAAGTCACTAGAAAAGAAAGTATATGTGTGAAATAAAAATAAAACAGGTCATTTAATAAATAGAAAAAATAACTTATGGGCAGTCTGGTGAAAAATGAGTAGATTTAACAAGGAAAATATACAAAAATAACGAATTGGAAGACAAAGGTTATGAAACAATATGTTATAATTGGGCTCTATGGGGGGGACTGGTATGCGAGGCATAGTTGTCGAAGGTCAGTATAGCAACATATATTTTCTAGTTTTAAACGATCGACATGACAAATAGTAGCAACACTAATAGTACTAAGTGACTCTAGGTATACAAAACAACAGTATGGTGGACGACTAGTAGCTGAGATAATAATAACGAAGAAAATATCAGCGTACCATAAAAGCTTGTTGTGGTGGCATCTCGACCACCCGGTCCATGATGACTGTCATGTGATATACGTTGTCCTCTAAATTCCTCTTTGCCGATCAGCCTGGATAGTCGGTCACGTCTCTCTTACGCACTGTAGGTAAGTACTGGGCATGTACTGGCTCCAGGATGTATCTGTACCTGCGTCAGTGTTGGTCAAGTCTGGTTTTGAATGAGCTCACACTGTATTGTGTTACTGTCCTATTATGTGTTACTATATTAATGTGATTGTCTTGTGTGTTATTGTACAGCGTGTTACAGTCTTATGCGTTAGCTTGTTACTGCTGTATCTTGCAGTTACACTTCCAAAGCCAAGTTTATTACTGTTTATTACATTAATAGTGTATGAAATTACAAGTGTGTGGGGGCCACATCATGGGTGTTACCATGCAGCTATCCTCGGTGTTACTGTCTTGTTACTATCTTGTATATTATCGCGTTACTGTCCTGTGTATTGCTGCATTACTGTCCTGTTTATTGCTGCGTTACTGTTCAGCGCACAGCTGTGTTACTGTCCAGTATATTATCGCGTTACTGTCCTGTGTATTGCTGTGTTATTGTCCTGTGTATTGCTGCATTACTGTCCTGTTTATTGCTGTGTTACTGTTCTGTGTATTTCTGTGCTACTGTCCTGTTTATTGCTGCGTTACTGTTACGAGTGAGCGATCATCGTTGGTTGTGGATTCGCAACGTGAACGTCTTTTGTTTGTGACGTCATTTCTGCTGCGTGCGCTCGCAGTGTTAAGTGAAGTACGGAGTACATCGTAGTGGACTTCTCACCTACAACTGCGTAGCCGCACCATCAGCTGCTACCATCTTCCCTAGCAACGAAACTAGCGGCAAGCGAGCGGCGTCACCAGATGCTATCGTATCCTAGCAACCGAGCAAAAGACCGGTTACTTCTCGGGTTTTCCCAACATGACTCATAGAGGACTCACGGCTGCTGGGTATATAAGCTCTGTCTCTCCATTGAGATTGATTCTAGCTTCTCTTCTACAACACGCAACACCTCCTCCTCCGCCGCTGCCTGGCTCCCTTCGCTTCTCCTCGCCTGCCTGGCGGTCCTCGCTCCCGCCAGCGAGCATGGCGACCCACCAGCTGTCCTTCTCTGAGCTTCCTCACCAACCAGCTCTCATTCTGGCCCATCTTCCTGAACACGCAGCACCTCCTCCAGCAAGCTCCACGCTATCCAGCTTTCATTCAACCAGGAGGCCAGCAACAGGCAACATCTTCTCTAACGAAGCTCCTGCACATCTGCCTCCTTCAACACGCTACTCACCTAACGTCTCTACTGAGCAGCTCCTCACCACACGGCACCTCCAGCACCAGACTGTCTATCATATAACTTATATTATACAAGAAAACCACTTTAGAGTTTCCATCCATCCTGAGTGCTAGACAACATTATACCACGAATTCCTACAACATCCTTTCTTATTGTACCCCACGAAACCTCATAAATAAGTATGTTATTTTCCGTGGAACTCCATAATATGATTAACAATAATCTTTCACAAATAATACTTCACTTGGTGTTATGAAAGTCAAGCAAGGTTTACACGTTATACCACTAGAAACATAATGTACAATAAGAAAGGAGATACTCTGTACTTCACTTAACACTGCGAGCGCACGCAGCAGAAATGACGTCACAAACAAAAGACGTTCACGTTGCGAATCCACAACCAACGATAGAACGCTCACTCGTAACAGTAACGCAGCAATAAACAGGACAGTAACACAGAAATACACAGAACAGTAACACAGCAATAAACAGGACAGTAATGCAGCAATACACAGGACAATAACACAGCAATACTGTCTTGTGTGTTACCATGTTACTGTCCTGTGTGTTACCATGTTACTGTCCTGTAAGTTGCCATGTTACTGTCCTGTGTGTTACCGAGTTACTGCCCTGTGTGTTACCGTGTTACGACTCCCTCCTGATGATTCTTACATTTATACATCTTTGTTTCAGAATGGGCGTTGAGGTGTGGTTGTTACTGGTGGTGGGCGTGTTGGGGGTGTGGGCGTACTCGAGGTGGCGTCACAGCTACTGGTCAGCCCGTGGTGTGCCTACTGCCCCGTACCTACCAGTCATCGGTCACCTACACAAACTGTATTCACTGCTCGTCTCCCGCTGGATCTATAATGACGAGGTATGTGATGGCGAGTTAGTGGTGATATATTGCTGGTGACGTGTTAGTGGTGATATATTGCTGGTGACGTGTTAGTGGTGATATATTGCTGGTGACATGTTAATGGTGATATATTGCTGGTGACGTGTTAGTGGTGATATATTGCTGGTGACATGTTAATGGTGATATATTGCTGGTGACGTGTTAGTGGTGATATATTGCTGGTGACATGTTAATGGTGATATATTGCTGGTGACGTGTTAGTGGTGATATATGCTGGTGACATGTTAATGGTGATATATTGCTGGTGACGTGTTGGTGGTGATATATTGCTGGTGACGTGTTAGTGGTGATATATTGCTGGTGACATGTTAATGGTGATATATTGCTGGTGACGTGTTAGTGGTGATATATTGCTGGTGACATGTTAATGGTGATATATTGCTGGTGACGTGTTAGTGGTGATATATTGCTGGTGACATGTTAATGGTGATATATTGCTGGTGACGTGTTAGTGGTGATATATTGCTGGTGACATGTTAATGGTGATATATTGCTGGTGACGTGTTAGTGGTGATATATTGCTGGTGACGTGTTAGTGGTGATATATTGCTTGTGTGATATATTGCTGGTGACGTGTTAATGGTGATATATTGCTGGTGACGTGTTAGTGGTGATATATTGCTGGTGACGTGTTAGTGGTGATATATTGCTGGTGACGTGTTAGTGGTGATATATTGCGGGTGACGTGTTAATGGTGATATATTGCTGGTGACGTGTTAGTGGTGATATATTGCGGGTGACGTGTTAATGGTGATATATTGCTGGTGACGTGTTAGTGGTGATATATTGCTGGTGACGTGTTAGTGGTGATATATTGCTGTTGACGTGTTAGTGGTGATATATTGCTGGTGACGTGTTAGTGGTGATATATTGCTGGTGATGTGTTAGTGGTGATATATTGCTGGTGACGTGTTAGTGGTGATATATTGCTGGTGATATACTGCTGGTGATATATTGCTGTTGACGTGTTAGTGGTGATATATTGCTGGTGACGTGTTACTGGTGACGTGTTAGTGTTGATATATTGCTTGTGACGTGTTAGTGGTGATATATTGCTGGTGACGTGTTGTGGTGATATATTGCTGATGACGTGTTAGTGGTGATATATTGCTGTGACGTGTTAGTGGTGATATATTGCTGGTGACGTGTTACTGGTGACGTGTTAGTGTTGATATATTGCTTGTGACGTGTTAATGGTGATATATTGCTGTTGACGTGTTAGTGGTGATATATGGCTGATGACGTGTTACTGGTGATATATTGCTGGTGACGTGTTAGTGGTGATATATTGCTGATGACGTGTTACAGGTGATATATTGCTGGTGACGTGTTAGTGGTGATATATTGCTGATGACGTGTTACTGGTGATATATTGCTGGTGACGTGTTAGTGGTGATATATTGCTGATGACGTGTTACTGGTGATATATTGCTGGTGACGTGTTAGTGGTGATATGGCTGATGACGTGTTACTGGTGATATATTGCTGGTGACGTGTTAGTGGTGATATATTGCTGGTGACGTGTTAGTGGTGATATATTGCTGGTGACGTGTTACTAGTGATATATTGCTGGTGACGTGTTACTAGTGATATATTGCTGGTGACGTGTTGATATATTGCTGGTGTTAGTGGTGATATTTGCTGGTGACGTGTTAGTGGTGATATATTGACGTGTTAGTGGTGATATATTGCTGATGACGTGTTAGTGGTGATATATTGCTGGTGACGTGTTAGTGGTGATATATTCCTGATGACGTGTTACTGGTGGTGACGTGTTAGTGGTGATATATTGCTGGTGGCATGTTAGTGGTGATATATTCCTGATGACGTGTTACTGGTCGTGACGTGTTACTGGTGATATATTACTGGTGACGTGTTAGTGGTGATATACTGCTGGTGACGTGTTAGTGGTGATATATTGCTGATGATGTGTTACAGGTGATATATTGCTGGTGACGTGTTAGTGGTCATATATTGCTGGTGACGTGTTAGTGGTGATATATTGCTGATGACGTGTTGCTGGTGATATACTGGTGGTTACGTGTTACTTGTGATATATTGCTGGTGACGTGATAGTGATCACGTGTTACTGGTGATGATGGTGGTGACGTGTTAGTGGTGATAAACTGGTGGTGATATATTGATGACGACGTGTTTGTGATGACGTATTGGTGGTAACTGTTCGTGGTAACTGTTCGTGGTGACCGTGTTGGTGGTGACAGTGGTGGTGGTGACAGTGTTGGCGGTGACCATACTGTGGAAGAATGCAGAACACCGATAATGACAATAAGGAATAAGTAAATAAGCAAAGAATTACCTGGAGATTAACGGAATTATATTAACTGAAATATATCAAATACGGTAAAATCCATATTGATTATTATTATGGGACAAACTGGTGTGTGTGTGTTTGTGTAATAATAATAATAATAATAATAATAATAATAATAATAATAATAATAATAATAATAATAATAATAATAATAATAAACGGTTTATTAATAGAGTTGCAGCCGGTGACTGAAAATATACAAACTAACATTTGATTTAGACAGAATGATATGTGTTGAATACATTTACATGGCTGTACAGTACATAAGTCAGGAGTTGTTTATTATTTTATCAATAGATGGGATGGTGCTATTCTTATATCTATAAGTGCCGACTCTTATGGGCTGAATTTTGTTGTAGTAGCAGACTGCAAGAGGTGGGTGGGGGACTACCGGTGGCATGAGTGACGATGACGAGGATGGTGCAGTAGTCCACTGCCAAACCTTGCTAGTGCTTGGTGGTGGAGGTAACTGTTTTTCCCTTGTTCGCCCACACCTTGAATTAGCAGCGCTGACACAATATATTTATACACCTATTTCCACGAAAATGGTGTTTTATGCACCTCTTCATAATCTTCCTGGCCAACCCAATGTCATTTTACTCTGCCAGGACGGTGGTAAGCACTTCGTAGTTCAAGGTTATTATATTATTATATGGCTCCAGACTATTGTGAATTCATCAGTATTGCCGTCATAACCTTGCCAGCCCATCATCATTTTATTTTAATTTGAATATAAATTCAGATCTTATAGCTTTATTTGTTTTTTAATGTTAATTTTACTCTCGGCAAACTCAATCTAGTTTCTGACAATATAACATTAATTTTATAGTACTTATTTTCAAAATTTAAATGCTGATTTTGCTATTACAGATATAATCTCTTCAAAAGTTGCAATTGTGCATTTTAAAGCACTGACACGTAAGGCACTTGAGGCTAGAAATTCAGACACTCAACCCTCAGTTGTAGGTTCCTCAGTTTAGTTCCAGCTCATATTGTCTTTTATAACATCGATAAGCAACCATCGGTATTATTTTATACTATGTGGTTAGACTACACCACGTAGAACTCAGAGAGTGGTGGCCAAGCGATATGTTAGCCCCTGTCAAACAGACAGTAATACTTATATAAATGAGGGCCACATACATTACTGTATGTTTATATAATTCCATCTCCCACAGTAACTAGCCTATGAGCAGTGAGTGGTCATAACTGCACATGTGACAATGGTTTTCCACTGTTCGCCTGCACCTTGAATGCGTGGGTCAGCAATTCATTAGCTGGCTTCTGGCAGTCTGTGCCAGTCTCTCACCCACATCAAACTTGTGTTCACGAAGCTCATTATACATATGCTTCATCCTTTATTAATGCTCACAGCTCATACGATTAATTACAGTGATATCCTAGTTATTGTGCAATAATATATTTTCTTAGTAAATGAAGAAAAGACCATTTGGATTTGAAAACTTTACCCACAACGGGTAAATGGAAGATAACATGAGTGTGAGGTGGTGATGAGTGTGAGGTGGTGGTGAGTGTGAGGTGGTGGTGAGTGTGAGATGGTGGTGGTGAGTGTGAGGTGGTGGTGGTGAGTGTGAGATGGTGGTGGTGAGTGTGAGGTGGTGGTGGTGAGTGTGAGATGGTGGTGGTGAGTGTGAGGGTGGTGGTGAGATGGTGATTGTGAGATGGTGGTGGTGAGTGTGAGGTGGTGGTGGTGAGTGTGAGATGGTGGTGGTGAGTGTGAGGTGGTGGTGAGTGTGAGATGGTGGTGGTGAGGTGGTGAGGTGGTGGTGAGTGTGAGGTGGTGGTGGAGGTGAGGTGGTGGTGAGAGATGGTGGTGGTGGTGGTGAGTGTGAGGTGGTGGGAGGTGGTGGTGAGGTGGTGGGGTGTGATGGGTGTGGTGGTGAGGAGGTGGTGGTGGTGAGTGGAGGTGGTGAGAGGTGGTGGTGGTGGTGGTGGGAGGTGGTGAGGGGTGAGGGTGGTGAGTGGAGGTGGTGTGAGTGTGAGGTGGTGGTGGTGATGAGGTGAGGTGGTGGTGGTGGTGGTGGGAGGTGGTGGTGAGTGGTGGTGAGGGTGGTGGTGGTGGAGGGTGTGGAGGTGGTGGTGGTGAGTGGTGGGAGTGTGAGATGGTGGTGAGTGTGGTGGTGGTGGGTGTGAGGTGGTGGTGGTGGTGGGGTGTGGAGGTGGTGGTGAGTGGAGGTGTTGGTGAGTGTGAGTGGTGGTGGTGGTGAGGTGTGGTGAGGTGAGTGGTGGTGGTGAGTGTGAGGTGGTGGTGGTGGGTGTGGGGTGGTGGTGGTGGGGTGGGTGTGAGGTGGAGGTGGTGGTGGTGGTGGTGTGAGGTGGTGGTGGAGTGTGGGAGGTGGTGGTGAGTGTGAGATGGTGGTGGTGGTGGAGATGGTGTGAGGGGTGGTGGTGGTGGGTGTGAGGTGGTGGTGAGTGTGAGGTGGTGATGAGTGTGAGATGGTGGTGTGTGAGATGGTGGTGGTAAGAGGAGAGTGGTGGTGGTGAGGTGGTGAGATGGTGAGGTGAGATGGTGGTGGTGGTGGTGTGGTGGTGAGTGGAGGGTGGTGGTGGTGTGAGGTGGTGGTGGTGAGTGAGGTGAGGTGGTGGTGTGAGTGTGAGGTGGTGAGTGTGAGGTGGTGGTGAGGTGGTGATGAGTGTGAGGTGGTGAGTGTGAGGTGGTGGTGAGCGTGAGGTGGTGGTGAGTGTGAGGTGGTGGTGGTGATGAGGGTGAGGTGGTAGTGAGTGGTCCTCCTCAGGCAGCCAGTGGAAGGAGAGGAGGCCTCTTGACCGTTATGAAAAAGAATGGATACTTCTGACAAAGGGAGGGATAATAATGATAATAATAATAATAATAATAATAATAATAATAATAATAATAATAATAGTAATAACAAGTGATCGTGGGCCCTTCGTGCCCGGTGGCGAGTCCGGTGGTACAGTTTACCGAGGTTGTTATAATCATGGTCGTGGTTGTTATAATCATGGTCGTGGTTGTTATAATCATGGTCTTGGTTGTTATAATCATGGTCCTGGTTGTTATATCATGGTCGTGGTTGTTATAATCATGGTCCTGGTTGTTATAATCATGGTCGTGGTTGTTATAATCTCAGTTGTGGTTGTTATAATCATGGTTGGGTGATATAATCATAGTCGTGGTTGTTATAATCATGGTTGTGGTTGTTATAATCATGGTCGTGGTTGTTATAATCATGGTCGTGGTTGTTATGACCATAGTAGTGGTTGTTATAATCATGGGCGTGGTTGTTAGTTTTCAATGCGTCTTATTATTTACGCTGGTGGATGTAAGACCTCCTACCCTCACTGACGCAGCTACGGTCAATTTGGTGTTATTCTTGTTTATAAATGCCTTCCAATGTCTCAAGTCTATCCGTCCTGTCTATTGCCATCCCAACTGTCTGTTCGTCCATGTGGTGTTTGAATGTAAGCCCGTCTGTACTCTTTGTGTCGTCAAATCTGTCTGTCTTATCCGTTGTTGGCGTGTGTCTGCCTGTTTGTGTAATGCAAACCAGTCAGTCAGCTGTCTGTCTGTCATGTTAGTTGCCATATTGTCTATTTGTGCATGTATGAATCTGTCTATTTTTTCAACCCCCTGTCTGTTTCACTGTCTATATTCACCCTGTGTCTATTGTAGTCATCTTCTCCATGCATTCCTGTTATTATCTTTTTATCTCTTCTCCTTTTCCATGTACAGTCACCCACAGGAATAAGTATACAGTACACTGTAGCTGTAAGGTCGTCTGGTAACGTTGAAACTGCACATCCAGACGCATGATGAAACTCAGCTCCCCCCACCTGTTTCTCTAACTATTTTCTGTTTCCCCTTCTTTATTCTTCTATTTACTCATCTTCCTTCCTTTACTAATCCAAACTACATTAAAAAAAGTAGGCTAAGAAAAATAATGGGGGGAGGAGGAGGGAGCCTTACGATAACTGCAATCGTGGGCCGACAGCTTGCAGCGAATGAGGGTGCGCCAAGTCCGTAGACTTGCATCGTTTTCCAGCATAAATAAAATGGTTAATTAATGGCTTCCTTAAGAAACCATCGATATGGGACCAGGTTTGTTCCACTCTACAAATTTTTTGCGATTTTTCCACAAAGTTTGATGAAAAACGTTTGTGCCGTTTCGGCTGCCCAGAGCAGACACACGCACACAGACAGACAGACAGACAGACAGACAGACAGACACACACACACACACACACGCCTAGTCCTATAGTATATTAGATAAAGAGAAACACTGATAATTAACCTATTGCACCACAACAGTTAGAGACTTGTACAAGAATCATGTTCTGTGTCCAGAACATTCGTAGGGCCAGGTATGATAGATTTCTTTTCACAGTTATTGATTATCATATGTTATTTATTTCAGTTATTATATTCAAATGTTACTCACTTTTAATTTAATAATTCAATTTAACTTGGGGAGTCTTGAAAGGATTATTGAAAAGGGTAGGGTCTTTCTGATTTATTGAAGAGACGGCGAGGAGTAACATTTTTAAAACATTTTAAACCCTAATACAACTCTGGACCATGCAATAATATATACAGTATATATCTTACAACAAATGGAACTGAGAGTATAGAATTTACTAGCTGTAAATACGATTTCATGTCAATGACCAACCCCGACACATTCACCAACACAACACTTCAAAAACAAATGATTTAAAAACTGCTTCAGAGAGGATCCTCGTGTTTAACCACTTCTTACAGTAATTCGTGTTTTGTTATTGCAGGTTTACTACAAGCATGGTGGAGCAACTTTCTGTGGATTATATGAATTTTTTAATCCTGTCCTGCTGGTCGGTGACCCAGATATTATCAAACACATCTTGATTAAGGACTTTGACCACTTCGTTAACAGTCGGTCGTTCCGTGTGGACAACGACAGCTTACAGAATGACATGCTGTTTAACATGGAAGGGGAAGAATGGAAAGCACTACGTAATGTGATGAGCCCCACATTTACTTCAGGCAAGATGCGGAGGATGTTCCCTCTCGTCTACCATAAGGCTGATGCTCTCGTTTCCTTCTCTCTCAAAGAAGCCACTAAGAAACCTCATGTTGACATGAAGTACAACTTTGGACGGTACACTATGGACACAATAGGTTCTTGTGCTTTTGGTATTGAATGTAATTCCCTTGAAAACGAAAATTCAGAATTTACTCTGCAAGCAGATTCCTTTTTTAAATTTACATTTACAATGTTTCTAAAGTTCATGCTTCTGCTAATTTCTCCAAAGCTAATTTCTTTACTTGGACTTTCACTGGACCTGCCTGCCATGAAATTCTTGGAAAGGGTAGTGTTGGAAACCAAGGCGGCCAGGGAGGTGGGACAAAAACGCGGGGACTTCTTAGACCTACTGCTGGAATCCAGAGCTGCTGAAAACCCCAATATCAACGACAGTGACCACACAACCCAGGACGACGACCACACCATGCACAACCACCTTACCACCTCCAACCAGCCCACCATCACCTCGAAACAAGGTCAGTGTAGACGTTGTGTAGTTTATTTCTCACTAACCCTCAGGTACTTGAGCCATGTCTTTCTGAAGTAATAGAATCACAGACACAGGCTTGAAGTAAAATTGCAATATCAAATGAGGTATCTCCCCATTTGATATTGCAATGTCTGTGTTGCATGACTCACCTAGATTTGATAGTGTGGGAAGGTGACTAACAGGATTTGGGTGATAGAAAATGTCAGCGACTCACAGGCATCGAGGGAACAATGGAATATTGAAATGAGTATACAGGAGAGGGACAGACAGGGAAGGATAGAAAACGAGCAGTGAGAGCCGAGCCGAGTTAAGCCAGTGTTTACAGTGTACAATCAAAGACAAAAGTCGTGTTTGCGGTTTTGTCCGAAGATTAAATATAACTCGTGAAACATTATGAGAGCCTCCTACCACAAGGCAGAGCACACCAAAAGTTTTAGCCCTTCGGCATATGTTTTCACCATATTTTACGACACGACTTTTGTCTTTCATTGTACGCCTCATCCAGGAATGTGTTAGTTAATCGGTGTGCGTGTGTGTGTGTGTGTGCGCGCACAGTGGTGTAATACGTCTATTGTAGTTGCATTATGTTAGTGTTAAGGTACAGGCATTGCTAGTTTCCTCTTGTATTCAGCTACCGCCGCTGGCTCGCCCTCGTGGTAAATAGGGAAGCAGCATTGCGTAAGTCTTCCCCTGCCAGTACACAGCCTCTTCACCATCAAGATTCTTGCTATGCCTCTTCGTGCCAACGTGTACACGATAACTGGTTGCCTCGCAGCCCCAGGCTAGAGCAGAGGATCTTGGAGCAGTAGTCTGCCCCAAAGAACGGCGCACAGGCCCACCGACATGTGGACAAGCCCTGGCGCCTACCAACCACTGTCCCAATGCCTTGCGGATTAACCTTGGTAAGTATAAAGCTACAGGAATAAACTTCAAACAAAAAATTTGCTGTGGAGCCCCGCATCAGGTAGACATGCTTATAGAACTCAGTAAGACCCCAACGACAGAATAGGCAGAAGAGGTGGCCAACAAGGGAAACCAATGACTACACCGGTGGATGAAGGCAAAGCAAGATGGACAGGTTATTGAGGCGAAACCCAACAACTCTCTCTCTCCCCAGTTGTTGCAGCTAAGTGCACCAGGGTTCCTGCCTCACCACATTAATCAACTCACTCACAGCCATCATCTACCCAGTAAGGTCATCCTAATGCGGTCGAAAACATAATCACAGATCAAAGCAAAAAAAAATACAACTTATTATGGTCGCTACATGGAATGTCAGGACCCTTCAGGATACTGGCACAAATGAGCGTCCTGGAAGAAGAACCGCCCCTGTGGCAAATGAGCTGTCTGGGCATAACATCGATACAGTAGCCATTAGTGAGTCCTGGTTCCCAGACGAGGGTTGACTCGCAGAACGGGGATCCGGCTATATCTTCTTCTGAAAGGGTAAGCCTGCTGTGGAAAGAAACTGCATTTATGGAGTTGGCTTTGCCACTCGCCAATCCATCCTAGTTAGGCTAACTGAAATGCCTGTGGGGTCAACGAGCACCTCATGATGCTCCGAATCCCACTGAATTACTTACGTCCATATGCCCCAACACTAGATGCAGAGAATGACATCAAGGAGGCCTTTTATGCCGACCTTGAATGAGTGCTAACCTCTATCCCTAGAGAAGATAAGGTTGTGCTCCTTGGTGACTTCACTGCCAGGGTTGGCAGAAATGCTGACTTAAGGTAGGAAACCATAGGGAAAACGGAGTGGGCAAGTGTAATCCCAACGGCCTACTTCTCCTCATCAAGTGTATTGAACACAACCTCACTATCACCAACACCTTGTTTAGGCAGGCCGACAAGTTCAAGGGTTCTTGGCAACACCCACGATTCAAACATTGGCATCTCATTGAACTACATCATTGTTAGCGAAAAAGATCACCAAGATGTCCTCATCACCTGTGCCATGCGTGGCTTAGACCACTATGACACATCACCAGCTCGTCAGAGTCGAACTCTCCTTTTGCAGAACGGCGTAGGCAACAAGCCTCCAGAAAAGTTTTAATACCAAGTGACTGGAGGATCAAGCAGTAGAATATGCTTTCAGGCAGCAGCTCGACAATGGGCTGATCAACAATCCAACAACAAACAACCAAAATCCGAGTGTCGAATGGGGTATTCTCGACCCTGTCATCACAAAAACCTGCAGCAAGAGCCTCGGTCACATCGAAAGAAAACACCAGGTAGGTTTCATGAAAATAACCGGGAAATCGAGAAACTCGTCAATGGTAAATGTGCTGCTTTCAGTGATTGGCAGAACAACCACCTGTTTTGGACCACAGCTGATACTTTCCGCTAGAAGTGAGCGATGGCCCAGCACAAACTTCGTGACCTTAAGGACGAATGGTGAAAGTATAAAGTGTCTGAAACGCAAAATTTGCATATCAACACAAGAGGGGTGAATTTTTCAATTCCACTAATACAATGTGTGGCCCAACTACTCATGATGCAGCCTGCCTCCGCTCATCTGACGGTAACTCCCTGATTAAAAATGAAGAAGGCTGGAAAGAGCACTACCATTCCCTGCTCACCCGAAACATCGATATGGATATCCTGACTACCCAGCACGTCCCTCAGTACCCACAGCTGACCCACCTCAGCTATCGTCCATCCCGTGATGAGGTAGCTAATGCCATCAAGCAGATGAAAAATTACAAAGCCACAAGGCCTTATGGAATCCCAGCCGAGGTGTATAAAGCAGGAGGACCTCTGCTTACCAGCCATCTCCACTCTCTCCTGCAGAATATATGAGAGGAGGAGGAAATCCCCAAAGATCTTAAAAACGTTACCATCATCAATATTTATAAGAACAAGGGAGACCGGTCAGACTGTGGCAACTACCGCGGGATCTCGCTGCTGTCCGTAGCTGGCAAGATTATCACCTGCGTCCCCCAAAAAGACTTCTTTCTGGGGCGTACAACTTCCTCCCAGAATTTCAATGTGGCTATAGACCATCAAGTGGCACCACTGACATGATCTTTGCAACCAGCCAGATACAGGAGAAGTGCAGAGAACGGCGTCGTGACTTGTACATGGCTTTCATCGACCTTACTAAGGCCTTCGACTCGGTCAACAGGGAAGCCCTCTGGTGGACCCTCACTCGTGTTGGTTGCCCACCAAAATTCATCGCCATTGTGAGGCAACTCCAAGATGGCATGAACGGCAGTGTCCTGCACAATGGCACCCATTCTGAGTTCTTCTCCATCCAAATGGGGGTAAAACAAGGATGTGTACTGGCACAAACTGTCTTTTCCATTTTTCTTGGTTGCATTCCTTATTTTTGCCTGTGCCAATTTAGCTGGTGGGGTGGACATCCAGTACCAGATGAAGGGACTTTTCAACATAAGATGACTCAAGGCAGAAACAAATGTGTCGGCCGCTTCCATTACTAAACTTCAGTGTGCAGACGACTTCACCCTCGTCGCTCACACTGAACACGACCCACAGGACACCCTGAACACCTACTCAGATGCATATACACCTTCAGCCTTAAGGTAAATGTACAGAAGACTCATATTTTCTTCCAGCCAGCCCATGGTTCAGCCACATCTCCACCACCCATCCAGGTTAAAGATACTCCCCCTCTAATGTTTCCCACTTTCAGTCCCTGTCTACCACCACAGACATCGATAACGAGAAGATTTAACATCGGATCAGATGCATCTCAAGCCTTTGGCAGACTCTGTCCCCATGTCTTCAACTGTAGGGAGCTGAAATTATCTACAAAGCTGCAAGTCGATCGCTCAGTGATCTTTCCCACCCTGCTGTATGGCAGCCAGACATGGGTCAAATATGAGAGGCACCTCAAACTTGAAACTTTTCATCAATGTAGTCCAGGTTCGCTGGGAAGACAATAGAAAAACGCCAGTATCCTTGCTGACACCAACTGTAGGAGTATCGAGGCTACCATTATCCATGAACAACTACGTTGGACTGGCCATGTTACCCGCATGAACGACAGTAGATTACTAAAACAACTACTTTACAGTCACCTAACGAATGGTAAACGTAACGCTGATGGACAACGGAAAAGGAATAAGGACGGTTAGGAAACAAACCTGAAAAAGTGACAAATCGACCCTTTCACCTGGGAGACGATCACTCCACACCGTAACTCTTGGAGGAGCACCGCACTAGGTGTGAATACTTTCGAGTTATCCCGACTGCATACCGAAGCCGACAAGCACCAGCGCCAGAAAGACGCCGCCGCCATGCCTCCCGCACTTGATGTAGCCCTCCACACGTGCAATATTTGTGCACGGCTTTGCCAGTCCCGTATTGGCTTCTCGAGTCAACTCAGAGCACACCAATGGAGGTGACATCTTTTATTAACTCATATCATTGTATCATAGCTGGATGATCGTCATACTCGATTCTGAGTGACAGCAACGTAATAGTAATGGTCAGCATCCTTGCCCGGCAAGCAAGCGGACCCGAGTTCGATCATCGGGCAGGGTGAAACTATGGGCAAGTTTCTTTATGCCATTTGCCTCTGTCTACTCAGCAGTAATTGGGAACCTGGATGTTAATCGATTTGCGGATCGTCTTCCGGGGTAATGGTTAGCCAGTGCAGTTGGCCAGTTGTCCGGTCTTCTCGGACTATTCCTTGACACTGGGTCATGCAGCTCGTTAACTTAGGGTGTGGTTGTTGTGTTGGCGACAGCTTCTACATCTTAAACAAATTCACGCACACACACACACACACACACACACACACACACACACACACACACACACACACACACACACACACACAGCGAGAGAGAGTGGAGCCACATTTGAACACCTAAGATGTCCCATAAACCATAAACTGAAGTAGTAGATGGACTGAATTGAGGTTTGACTTTAGTCCCTTAATACCCTAAAACTGTATAGGAAGAGTAGTTGTGGTGTACAAATACTGGGGGGTACGACGTTTAGCATCGCCAGCAACACCATCATGTTCTGGATTAATGTTCGTGATTCTTTTTTCTTTACTTATCTATTTAAAGGCAAGAAAATAGGGCACATATCACCTCATGCTGCTTGGCCCTATTTCGTGACAAAGGAGTGAAAATTGACTGAGGCCTCGGAAAGAGTCCCAGATTCAGCGCCAAGGACTTCTATCTACTGTAGTTATTGCCTTGAGATTAACTATTTTCACGTGCTGCCATCGGGTTCGGATCGGTTTCTACCAGTTGTTTGCTTTACAGCTTCAACCAGTGAATAGGGTAGACGAGTAAGAGAGAATGGTGATAATGATGTAAAGGTAGATGAAAAGGTAGAAAGAGAGATCTGGAAGTCTGTAGAGCTGTATTCAGTAGAAGCGTGTGACAGAGCAAGAAGTGTGTTGTGTGTGGGAACTCCAGAAGCAGGTGGTGTGTGTCATACAGAGGTTGCGTTACCTTACAAAACTCCCTGTACTGCTCCCATCGTGGTCTTTCACCAGCGACTTGCAGACCACTTTATACATCAATATAGACAGACGATCTTGTAACTAACCAGGACGGTATTTCAGTGTTGAAGGACAGAGTCATCGTGGCTCAATGCGTCCTCTTCTTGGTAGCTGGCTACGACACTACGGCCTCTACCCTGGCCTTCTCCGCCTTTCTACTGGCCAAGAATCCTGTGCAGCAGCAGCGTCTCCGCCAGGAGCTGCAAAAGATGGTTGAAGAACATGGTGACGTAACGTACCAGGGCATAATGGAGGCTAAGTTTCTTGAAGCCTGTATTATGGGTAAGAACTTATGTCATCACTTGAGGCCAAATTAATTTGGGCTACATTAGATTAGGTATTCTCATTGTAATTTTTACGTCATTTTGGCTTCCAATTTTGTGTCAAAATTTAATAAAAAATGTCAAAAGATCCTAATTAGCAAGAAAAAGCCATCAGTCTTGTGGGTATGTTTTACTGTGTCTTTATTTTTCTCATCAGAAACGTTGAGGATGTATCCACCAGCACCACTGATTGAGCGGCGGTGTACCAAGACCTACCAGTGAGTCTCTCAGTCATTCTCTTAAGCTTAGTTCGCTGGCAGCTTGAACATTGTCCTCATCATAATTTTGTCCAATGCCACAAATATTTTCCTGTTTCGTGGGGGACTATAATCCTGTGCTCTCGACAGTTCTCTTCTGCCTTCTCCTAATTGAAGAAAATTGGTCTCCTCTATTTTCCCCTGAACTGGTAAAATAATTGATCACCTCTGTCTTACCCTTGGTTAAAGAAGGGACTTGGTCCTTCTTTCTTCCCCTAGCTGGAAATGGGGTTAGTTTACTCCTTACCCAAATAGCCTAACTGGACAAAAAAGCCTTGGCCACCATTTCATACCCCTTGACAGAGATGTTTGGTCACATCTACTAAACGGGTAACGTGGAGCAGGAGTACGAAAGGTGCCATGTTTTTGAGGCAGAATCTTTAACATCAAATGCAATTTATTGACAGCAGTGGATTTGTAACCAAGAACACTGTTAGTATGATGTATCTCCTTAAACTCAAAGGATAGACAATACTACTAGCATCCTGAACCCTCTCACCTCTTCCCAGATAACGAGATATAGTACTACCTAACTGTGTGGCCTTGTTCCTACACTGTATGTGAAGTGTGTCAGGGCAGTGGAGTATTAATGACCATCATAATTACAGAAATAGATTCGAATTATGATGAGGCGATGTCCATTGAGACTGACATCTTGAGTGTAATAGAATTCCTGTACAGTACAGAACTGTAAATAGAAATTTTTTAACGTTCAGTAGAGAGCAATGCGAACGTTAGAATGTTTCCAGAGATCCAGGTGGAACTTATTATACCTACGATGTATAGTGGATAACATTATTTAAACAGGACTGGCAAAAGCCATTGGTTAAATTTACCATTTTTAATTTTATAATGGTGGTTTGAATAAGTCAAGTATTTTTAACTCTTATTATAATTATTTAATATGGTAATTAGTCATACATTAGTTGTTTTTTTACGGCGAATAGCCCACCCGGGCACAGGTCATTCAAACTCATCTTACATAAAGTCCTTAAAAACGAAGTTAAGTTTAAGTTCATCCTGACATATGGAAAAAGCCCTTCTTAAAATAAATTTTACTATGCAACATTATTATAGTTGACAATTCTTATTAATGATAATTCATGATTGGTATCTGTTTACAAACAATAACTATAACATGTTAAAAGAAACCTGACAGACCTTACTTAAAGAGAATAGCCACAGTAACACTAAATTACCAAAAAGGTCAGGAACAATGGCAGTTGTGAAAAACAGGAGTAGGAACTGAACATAATTAATTGACACAGCAGGAGGTGGAAGTAGGACTGGTAGGTGCATTAAAATACCTGGGAATTAATTTTTCGTCTGGGCACATGACTTGAAGATTTAGTGTTAAGAGGTTAACCAGATTATGAAGTAGGTTGCATCCATACGCTTAGTCATGGTTTCAAATTTAATTTTAGCATCAGTGGTGATGGAAATTTACTATAAATCATTATAACCATCAGGAAATAATATAAATAAAAAAATCGTAAAACCAATGAAAAAGGTAAGATTAAAGCAAAATGTTTTTATATTTAGATTAAATAATCCAACCCTGCTTACTTATAACACTACTTGGCACTGTAGGTTGTGTGGTGTCTCGGTGAGGTATGACCACTACAGTCTACCTGGCACTGTATTGATATTAAAACAGTTTATTTAGCTCAAAAAATACAGATACAGAGTGGATAATAATATTGATATGGCTGAGCCAATTGTAAGCCTGAGCTCTCTTAGGTGTGTGGTGACTTGGTGAGGTATGACCACTATAGTTTACCTGGCACATAGGTGAAGTACAGCCACTACTACTACAGGTTGCCTGGGACAGAGATAACCTTACATCCTGAAGACCTGGTGTCGGTACCGGTGCGGAGCCTTCACTATGACTCCCGCTACTGGCACGATCCTGAAGAGTTCATACCAGACCGCTTCCTCCCTGAGAACAAGGGCTCCATCACCAGCTGCACCCACCTCCCCTTCGGTTCAGGCCCAAGGAACTGTGTAGGTGGGTGACCTCTGACTGGCAGTTTGTGCCTTAGTGACCAGGGTAGCTTATTTGAGTGACGAGTGAAGTGGTGTTAGTGCCGAGTGTGGTGAGTGATGAGTGTGGTGAGTGATACTAGTTTTACCACAGCCGCCACCAATCGCTGGTGTATTGTACTTTGCTCTGATCTTTTTCGTATCATTCGTAGATCAGGCAGCAGGTGTTCATTACCTAGATCAGTGTAGCTGTTATTAGATAGGTACAGTTTTGGTTTGTTTTTATATAACACTCAGTCAGCACCCATATCTGTTGCTGTAATACAATACCCGTTAGGCACGGTGATTAGTGGGTTTTGGGAGCTGACCCACCCAGTTATGTAATGACCCAACTACAAAATGTACAAAGTCTTCATCGACTGGTCATCGAGAGGATTAAGTGTTCGTTAGTAACTTAATATGGCTATGAAGTAACTTAGTATGGCTGTGAATAGAACATTATCTGCCAGTATATGGTATGGCGCCTTGATGACTCCAGCCTCGGGGGAAAACAGATAGTTAACATGAACTTGTAAACAAGTCAGGCGCGTTATGCTCTGAATTCAGAACATAAGGTTAAGTTTGATTACATTTGGTTGCGAGACATGATTTTATCCAGCAAGTTAGAAGATGGTGCTATTCACACAATGAAGCACAGTAAGCTTCCTACCAATTCAATTCCGTCTCCTGATCAGAGTAAATGTCCCGAAATACAGTAACTAGTGACCACATCATTATTTTCCCGTGATTTATTTGTTTGATGATTTACATAATGACTTGCTGTTCCCCTTAACACTTCCGTCCACAATGTCCTCCTGCAAACATGTTAATCTGGCTCTTATAATGGTGGACATGTTATACGTTAGTTTAGGCTAGGTTAAGATTACATTATATTAAGCTATGAAATACTCTTCTAGGTTAGGATACATTAAGCTACGTAATAACGTTGTTTTTATGGCAAAAGATGGTTGAGTGAACTTATTATTCTGGAATCTGAGGCTTAGCATTGTGGACTTATCACTCAATCAAAGTACCGTCGTCATATCGGAGGGTTGGCGACCACAGTACAGAAGCACTCTGAACGTTCTCGGGCTGTTCTTGCCAATCCTCTAAGGTTTTGTAGCTCTCCGGGGACCATTTTTTTTTCACCCATCCATCCCAGTGTCTCTGCCTTCTCCTAGCCCTCCCACCCTCAACTCTACCCATTAATATATTTTTTTATTATCCCCTCATCCTTAATTACATGACCAAAGTATCTCATTTTTCTTTTTCTATGCATTTCAAGTACTCGTACATATTTTATTTAGAGGGTTTTTTTTAATCTTAGTACTTCTTCATTTGTTTTCCTGTCAGTGTAGTTTATTCTTAGCATTCGCCTATAACACCGCTTTCCAAAGGCCTCCTACCTCTGGCGCCTGCTGAAAGTATCCACGCTTCTAGCCTATACATTAGTCCTTGCCATATACTGTAAAGCCTTTCTGCAACCCTTTTATCAAATTGAAGTTAATGTCCCCTTTTATTAGGTCTTTTAGATTAGTAAATGTTCTTTTTGCTCGCCCTATTATTGTTTTGATTTCTTCAGTATATCTATCGTCACAGCTAAAGGTACTTCCCAAATACACAAAATTTTCCACATGTTAAGTTCCCTGTTGCCTACAGCATTAACTCTTAAACCATATTGTTCACCTTTGTCCACTAATCTTTTAACGAGGTTTTATAATGCCTCTTCACTCTATCTGTGATAAAAGCAGTATCATCTGCATAACGTATATTACTGTACCAGGAGTCCTTCATTATGACTTATACCTTGTCTCAATAAGAATTCTTAATGTAAACTTAATACTGAAGTAATAAACACCTTATTACTATTAGCTCCTTGTAACATGTTGAGTCACTAGTATTTGTAACATAATAAGTTATAAATATCTCCAACATCACATTCTTGGGAATTATTCTTTTATGTTTATTGGCTAATTGTTTTCAACACATTCCTAAGACAGAAATAATTTGGTGACTCCATTCCTAAAGTCTCGGGTCAGCATTTTTATTTTAAACACAAAACTTCTTTCTGTAAGCCCCTCTTATGTTTTCATTCCGTTTCCTGTTGGGAAAACTATAAAAGACAGGAACTAGTCGGTGATAGTTAAAAAGGGTGGTGCATGAGTCGCTTTACCAAGTGACATTTGATAAATACAGTGTTCATGGTAATGCGACGTTACTGCTACCTTGTATATCTCCAGGGATCACAGGAAGATTAAGCCGCTCAGTTTATTTCACCTGGGGTTACGTTAGATTAGGTTAGGCTAGATTCGCTTATGTTGGATTAGATTAGCTTATGATATGTTAGGTGAGGGTTCCCAGGTGTCCTTATTTCATTGCTTTGTCGTGTTATCTCGGAAAGGTGTGTCGAGACGCATATTTGTCTAATGTTTTAGTGACCCTGATACATTGACTCAAAAATCATTAGACCATCCAGGCTTGCCACTGTAACCGCCCCTGTTTATGATCCAAATAGAAATACCCCATACAAATATAACTTTAAAAATAAACAATAACTACGAGTACCGGGTAGTAGTATTTTTAAGTTCAGCTCAAATCTTTTGTCTTGCTTCACAAAACAGAGTAATAGTTTATATATCTCAAGTAGGTTGCGAACTTTATGTATAGTAAAGCTAATATCATAAGTTGTTCTAACCAAGCAGCAAAGCCCAAAGTGTGTGACTACGGTGGTTGCAGCCAGCCAGGTAAAGACTGCGTCACGGAGAGGTGTGCTTTTGTGGCTGGCTGATCCATACTGTACTTGCTAATAGTGGCAAATTGTGTAGTATGTTTTATGCTTTATATAAAAAATTAACTAAAAAAAAGAGCTATTTAGGTTGATTTTTTCTTACATAGCAAATAAATTTACTGTAAACAATACTGTATCTTCGTAAAAAAAATACTCCATTGAGAAATGCCTTCTGAACAAGGATGCCTGAAACCTTAATCCAGACCCAAATACAACACTTAGGTAGTTAACAAGGTTGTAAAGTAACTAAATAAATTTACTTGAGTACTGTACTCAAGTAACATTTTTGGGTATTTACTTTTTTAAAAATACAAAATTTTTTAGTACCTATACTTATACTTAAGTACTTAATACTTTTATTCCAATATAATTTAAAAATAAAAAATCGTTACTCGCTACATACAAAATAATAATATATGTTTAATTAATTAATTAATTAATTATTAACCATAACACAAAAAGTTGTGTGGGTGGTGAGTATGGTGTGGGTGGAGCCATGAAGGGTATGGTGTGGGGAAGCACCACGCGGTCACATACCAAGAGCTCTCGTGAGGTCAGGTCAGGTGGCAGTGGCCAAAACAGCGGACTTCCCTTTGATCTTCTTGTGTCCGTTAGCACCTTGACCACCCACCTCACCTAGCCTACCCTCTTATCCCTCCCTCCCTCATCAAATCCCCTCTCTTTGCATATACACCTGTACCTAAAATGCATTTCAAAGAGGCTGTGATTTTAAAATGTTTTACATAACTCCATCGTAGATATAAAGGCTGTATTTATACATGTGTGTGAGACTGGGTGTATTTAAAATTCTGCTTGAATAACTAAGTAACACTGCTCCCCCCCCCCCCCACCAGCACCCACCAGATGTTACATGGTGCGAAAAATTCAGCCACCCATCAATTAGTCGAAAAGTGACGTCACCAAAGCCACACTTAAATTAGAGGGACAGTTCACGGTGAGTCACAGTCAGACTCAGTCACTATAGAGGCAACAATCATTCACAAACTCCTCAACTGAATGAGCTTGGTCGCTTCTTGGCATGCCCAGGGGATGGAATGGAGCTATTGGGGTCTTTCCGGACATTATGTGACTTATCTTTGAAGCCTAACACCCCATTGCCTTCATCTGCTGCTTGTGAGCGTCTATTTAGTCATGTTGGGCTTATTATTTATTATTTAATTAATTAATTACACCCAGGGGGCGACAAGCCTAGCCACAAGACCATGTGGTCAGACCCTAATACATTGCTACTCATGTCTCGCAGGACACGCTGTATGGAGGCAATATTTAAATGATTTAAGGACAATGGGAGTTAGCACCCACCAAAGCGTGGGTAGCATACGATAGGGTAGGCGGTGATATACAGTGGTTAGTGATTCGTCCTGTAGTAGGACAAATCCAGGAATATAAAAAATGGAAGATCAAGAAGTTGTGGGTGAGAGAACATGGCGAGCACAATGAGCCCACCCATCTAGGGGTGTTTGTGGTGGGGGGGGGGGGAGGGGAGCACTAAGCCCCCAGATTTTTTTAAAATCTGATCAATATCATGGACATTTTGAGGCCATGTGCACTTGATATTAGGAGATTTTCTGAGGTCAATAGTATTTACGTTTTGCTTTACAAAAATGTCTGAGTACGATACTGCATTAAAGAAACAATAGTGGAATTTTCTGAAGAAAAGTGGGGTCCAGACTCCCAGGACCAGGATCTACCCCTGCAGTGGGCTTGTCAAGGCAATAGTGTTGAAGGCTGTTAGCGTTGGGAGTTACAGAGTTTACAGGAAGAGAAGTGTGGGTCATGCCCCGCCTCAGATACTTGCCAGATAGGTCTGTCCTAACCTAATGTGAGCAGAGACAACATTATGTCTGTGGATCATAAGTCCACGTCGACGATACTTGTGTGTATAAGGAAGAACGAGATCATAGTTTTGGATGGATATAAGAACATAAGGATGGAGGAAACTGCAGCGGGCCTATTGGCCCATACTGGGCAGTCCCGTTTACACCCAACCCCTATTGCTCATATAAGCATCCAACCTATGTTTGAAGCTATTCTGCGTATTTGAGTTAATGATGATATTTGGTAACTTGTTCCATTTATCCACTACTCTGTTTCCAAACCAGTGTTTACCTATTTCGCGCCTAAATCTGAATTTGTCTAACTTAAAACCATTGTTACGAGTTCGCTCCTGGTTGGATAGTTTGAGTACCTTTGCAGTGTCCCCTTTGCTTAGCCCTGACTTCCATTTATACACCTCTATCAGGTCGCCCCTTGCTCTACTTCTCTCGAGGGAGTGCAAATTTAGATGCTTTAACCTATCTCTATACTCAAGGTTCCTAATGCCCGGGGTTAGTCTTGTCATTCTCCTCTGAATTCTTTCCAAGGATTCAATATCCATTCTGTAATACGGTGACCAGAACTGAACTGCGTAATCCAGGTGTGGTCTCACAAGCGCAAGATACAGTTTTAGGATGACCTCGCTAGTCTTGTAACTAACACTCCTTTGTATGAACCCAAATACTTTATTAGCCTTGTTACGAGCAAAAACACATTGTTTACTTGGCTTAAGGTTCCTACTTATCATTACTCCTAAATCTCTCTCGCAGTCGGATGTCTCTATGGCATCGTTGTTCATCTGGTATCTGGTTTCCCTGTTTACATCTCCTATATATTTTCAGCCCGTTCACTATCCCTGCCATGGATTGTAGGGAGAAGAGCGGCTGAACAAATTCTATTTCGGTAGGTCATGCAGGACTTATATTTAGGCCTAAAAGATTCTGATTGGACCGCCACAATTTTGAGATTCAGTTCTTGATTAATCTCATCAGAAAGATTTGCAAATATACACGTGTAGTGCTGTGTCTCTTTTATTTTTATCTTTAGTTAACTATTTTTTTTTAATTTACTGAGGATTTATTTTAATATTTGAGATAATTAAATAATTTTGTTGTTACAATACTTTTTTACTTTCAGTTCTTGAGTACTTTATGAATGAGATACTTTTTTACTTCTACTTGAGCACATTGAACTTTGGATAATTTTACTTCTACTTGAATAACATTTTGCCACTGTAACAATACTTTTACTTTAGTAACAAAGTCCGGTACTTATTACAACTCTGGTGGTTAAGCTTAAGATGAAATAAATTTGGGACTAATTTTCAGGTGATGCATCCTCAGGTAAAGATCTTTAATAATGTGTTCCTTGTCCTTTGGTCCAGCAATGAGGTTTGCTTTGATGGAGGCGAAAGTGGTGCTGGCCAAGCTGTTGCTGGCAGCGGAGATCCATCTACCTGAAGGCCACAAAGAACTGGTGCTCGAGACGTCCCCCTTCCTCATAAGACCAAAGAAATGTGTTAACCTTATACTGACCCCCCTTACAAATAATAACTGACCAGCTCAGGACTCTCATCGACTCACACCCCAAGGCACGTAGTCATTTTTGTGTCCAAGTTTCAGCTTCCTAGCCCAAGAAGTCAAACAACTGGAGCAACCATCGAGTATCCCGCTTTCGGAACTCATATTCTCGGGAACTTTGCGGTGTAGGTATCTGAAGTCACCAATAAACAGAGAAAACAATTATGACGTCCCTATTGACAGGTATTTGGAACAAACTGAGGGGACGAGCCTAAATTTTTCTCCTTAAAAATTAATGTACATTATGAAGAGACGCATTTGGACTTTGAGCTTCTCTGGGACAGAACTTCTGGGGATCTTAGGGTGTAGCCACACTAACGTACATTTTGCCCCAAAACATGCGATCGACAAGAAGAAACGAAGCACAGGGTACCGACTCTGTGCTCCGTTTCTTCTTGGCGATCACATGCTACACTTAGTGTGGACACACCCTTAGACAGAAGATCTTACAGCCTTCGGCTAGGCTAGCGGACTGCCCATCTCTGGGCCCTGCTGGGGACTTATCAAATGCCTGATGACTTATGATAAAATGTTTGTATTCTTGTGTTCACTTAATTTCAATGATAATGTGTAAAGTACCATGGCAGTAGTGTGAATAATTTCTCTCCTTATAAACAACTAAAAAATACTATATAAAATTTATGCTTAGATTGAGAAAGGAATGAGAAAAGATTGTAAAAAATTTACTTAAAACTGAGAATATATTAATCAACAGAGAATCTTGATTATCTGAGAATTAAACTTCTCCATTATATGCCACTGACTTTAAAATGATTTTAATTCGGTAATGATTTTGATTCTGTTTCTACGTGCAGTGGAGGAGTGGCTGCAGTATATTAACTTGTTTTTATATGAGCATGCTTTATAACCTTGTTCCCTAAACCTATTCCCCCCCCCCCTACTTTTGAGTTCCATATTTTTACCAAGTATCCCATATTCTTCTTCCCTTATTCTTTCGACTCATTTTCCCAATACTTATAACATCAGATTTCCTGGCTGTAGCAAGATGGGCCGCGTTCACTTGTTGGGAGAGGAGGGAGTCACCTCACACCCAGTGACCCTACACTAAACCTCACCCAAACCCCCCCAAGCCTCACACCAAGCCTCACCTCACACCAAGCCTCACCCACCCCCCCACCAAGCCACACCCACTCCCCACACCAAGCCTCACCTCCCCCCACACCAAGCCACACCCACACTCCCCACACCAAGCCTCACCCACACTCCCACCTCACCCACACACAAGCATCACCTCCCCCCACACCAAGCCTCACCCACACTCCCCCACACCAAGCCTCACCCACACCAAGCATCACCCACACTTCCCCACACCCTAATCCACACTGAAGAATGTTGATCAATAAAACATGCATCATTATAATGTGTTTCATTACATTTTATTAATATTTATTTTATTCTGTTTTTTGACATTTATTATATTTTGATTAAGAAATAACTTTTCTTTGTTACATGATCACTGTTACCACCACCAGGTAGTGTTCAGTGTTACCACCACCAGGTAGTGGTTACTGTTACCGCCACCAGGTAGTGTTCAGTGTTACCACCACCAGGTAGTGGTTACTGTTACCACCACCAGATAGAGGTCACTGTTACCACCACCAGGTTGTGTTCAATGTTACCACCACCAGGCAGTGGTCACTGTTACCACCACCAGGCAGTGGTCACTGTTACCACCACCAAGTAGTGGCTAATGTTACCACCACCAGGTAGTGTTCCGTGTTACCACCAACAGGTAGTGGTCACTGTTACCACCACCAGGTAGTGGTTACTGTTACCACCACCAGGTAGTGTTCAGTGTTACCACCACCAGGTAGTGTTCAGTGTTACCACCACCAGGTAGTGTTCAGTGTTACCACCAACAGGTAGTAGTCACTGTTACCACCACCAGGTAGTAGTTACTGTTACCACCACCAGGTAGTGGTTACTGTTACCACCACCAGGTAGTGGTTACTGTTACCACCACCAGGTAGTGTTCAGTGTTACCACCACCAGGTAGTAGCCACTGTTACCACCACCAGGTAGTGGTTACTGTTACCACCACCAGGTAGTGTTCAGTGTTACCACCACCAGGTAGTGTTCAGTGTTACCACCACCAGGTAGTGTTCAGTGTTACCACCACCAGGTAGTAGCCACTGTTACCACCACCAGGTAGTGTTCAGTGTTACCACCACCAGGTAGTAGTCACTGTTACCACCACCAGGTAGTGGTTACTGTTACCACCACCAGGTAGTGTTCAGTGTTACCACCACCAGGTAGTAGCCACTGTTACCACCACCAGGTAGTAGTCACTGTTACCACCACCAGGTAGTGGTTACTGTTACCACCACCAGGTAGTGGTTACTGTTACCACCACCAGGTAGTGTTCAGTGTTATCACCACCAGGTAGTAGTCGCTGTTACCACCACCAGGTAGTGGTTACTGTTACTACCACCAGGTAGTGGTTACTGTTACCACCACCAGGTAGTGGTTACTGTTACCACCACCAGGTAGTGGTTACTGTTACCACCACCAGGTAGTGGTTACTGTTACCACCACCAGGTAGTGGTTACTGTTACCACCACCAGGTAGTGGTTACTGTTACCACCAGCAGGTAGTGGTTACTGTTACCACCACCAGGTAGTGGTTACTGTTACCACCACCAGGTAGTGGTTACTGTTACCACCACCAGGTAGTGGTTACTGTTACCACCACCAGGTAGTGGTTACTGTTACCACCACCAGGTAGTGGTTACTGTTACCACCACCATGTAGTAGTCACTGTTACCACCACCAGGTAGTGGTTACTGTTACCACCACCAGGTAGTGGTTACTGTTACCACCACCAGGTAGTGGTTACTGTTACCACCACCAGGTAGTGGTTACTGTTACCACCACCAGGTAGTGGTTACTGTTACCACCACCATGTAGTAGTCACTGTTACCACCACCAGGTAGTGGTTACTGTTACCACCACCAGGTAGTGGTTACTGTTACCACCACCATGTAGCAGTCACTGTTACCACCACCAGGTAGTGGTTACTGTTACCACCACCAGGTAGTGGTTACTGTTACCACCACCAGGTAGTGGTTACTGTTACCACCACCAGGTAGTGGTTACTGTTACCACCAGCAGGTAGTGGTTACTGTTACCACCAACAGGTAGTGGTTACTGTTACCACCACCATGTAGTAGTCACTGTTACCACCAGCAGGTAGTGGTTACTGTTACCACCACCAGGTAGTGGTTACTGTTACCACCACCATGTAGTAGTCACTGTTACCACCACCAGGTAGTGTTCAGTGTTACCACCAACAGGTAGTGGTTACTGTTACCACCACCAGATAGTAGTCACTGTTACCACCACCAGGTAGTAGTCACTGTTACCACCAGCAGGGAGTGGTTACTGTTACCACCACCACGTAGTGTTCAGTGTTACCACCAACAGGTAGTGTTCAGTGTTACTACCACCAGGTAGTGGTTACTGTTACCACCACCAGGTAGTGTTCAGTGTTACCACCAGCAGGTAGTGGTTACTGTTACCACCACCAGGTAGTAATCACTGTTACCACCCCCAGGTAGAGGTTACTGTTACCACCACCAGGTAGAGGTTGCTGTTACCACCACCAGGTAGTAGTCACTGTTACCACCACCATGTAGTAGTCACTGTTACCACCACCAGGTAGTGTTCAGTGTTACCACCACCAGGTAGTAGTCACTGTTACCACCACCAGGTAGTGGTCACTGTTACCACCACCAGGTAGTGTTCACTGTTACCACCACCAGGTAGTGTTCACTGTTACCACCACCAGATAGTGTTCACTGTTACCACCACCAGGTAGTGTTCACTGTTACCCACCACCAGATAGTAGTCACTGTTACCACCACCAGGTAGTGTCACTGTTACCACCAGCAGGTAGTGGTCACTGTTACCGCCACCACCGCGTGGTGTTCGTTGGTACCACCACCAGGTAGTGTTCAGTGTTACCACCAGCAGGTAGTGGTTACTGTTACCACCACCAGGTAGTAATCACTGTTACCACCCCCAGGTAGAGGTTACTGTTACCACCACCAGGTAGAGGTTGCTGTTACCACCACCAGGTAGTAGTCACTGTTACCACCACCATGTAGTAGTCACTGTTACCACCACCAGGTAGTGTTCAGTGTTACCACCACCAGGTAGTAGTCACTGTTACCACCACCAGGTAGTGGTCACTGTTACCACCACCAGGTAGTGTTCACTGTTACCACCACCAGGTAGTGTTCACTGTTACCACCACCAGATAGTGTTCACTGTTACCACCACCAGGTAGTGTTCACTGTTACCACCACCACCAGGTAGTGTTCACTGTTACCACCACCAGGTAGTGGTCACTGTTACCGCCACCAGGTAGCAGTCACTGTTACCGCCACCAGGTAGCAGTCACTGTTACCGCCACCAGGTAGCAGTCACTGTTACCGCCACCTGGACGTGCTCACAAACTTAAGGTGGTTGCTCGTGGGAGCAAGATATACTGTAGTCATGTTTAAAAGTTGGCGTTAATATGGGGGTCTGGGTGAGTGTGTGGTCACACTGGAGAGGCGGAAGGGGAGTATGGATATATATATATATATATATATATATATATATATATATATATATATATATATATATATATATATATATATATATATATATATATATATATATATATATATACCTCTATATTCCCGTGACTACACATGTTGTATATTCAAGAAAGCCCTGGGTGTTGTTCTATTCCTCCTATATTACCTGACACTCCCTCGATTCTAAGCTGGACTATGAATATACCCTGTACCTGAAATAAATCTGACATGTTGGTGTTGATACATCCTGCATTTAACTCACGTTTATGCTCAGCACATAAATGATAGTGTACTGCAAACTCTTTAGTCGCCCCCCACCACCACCACATACGTACGCGCAAATACGTTTTCATTTGTTCCAGATTCACAGGGTTCGTAGCCTTGACAAGTAATTTTGAATGTGACTGCGAGGCTGAACTCACGATCAACGTACATACATTACAAGCCAAAGACACAGACAAACAATTGATAATCTCTGGAAAAACAGACAGGCTGTCCTCCCTGCCCCCAGACTGCACATTTTACACGAGGAAATAACTCATAGTGAAATTGTATATAACTCTGGTCGTATATAGACACTTGTAAATCTCCTCTCCTATGTAATAAATGAGTAAAAACAATAGCTATATGATAATTTCGTCTTATATTCATATTCCTTAAGAAGAGTGATACTTGCTCTATAAAAGTACATAATTGTTAGAACTTTTATATATAATGAATAAAATAATTAACACCATCGACAAAAACTAATACTGTATCTTGTTCTCCAGTGAATCTAAAGGCAGGAAAACCCATTGTGCCTAAAACACCTTTAAATGTACTGAAATTTTATATTTCAGTCCTTTATCTCAACAACACTGTCAACAGCCGTGTGCTGTTCCAGCAGTCTCACTTCTTCAACTTAACTAGTCAACTCCGTGTCCATATCAACTATCTTTCCTATTACTGTTATCATAACAGTCACATACGTTAACCTAAATTCCACCAATACCGCCCATACAATGCAAGCGATAAGGGGAAGCTTTTCTTTTGTTTCATACCAACTCACTGGTTCCTTTCCAAACACTTTAGATGAATTTGAAACTGAAAACATACAGTATTAATTGTATAAAAAATTCTATTGTAAAGACATAACAAATAAAAATAAAAACTTCACACCGACCACTTTTCTCGCATCGATTACGATTTTTTTTCCTCAGACAATACAAATTGTTACAAGACAGCTTGCAGGGTAAATGTTGGTGGTTGACTGATCTGTAGGGCTTGGTTTTCAGGTTCCGGCCCGAGAACTAACCATTGGCCTTAA